CCACGTTTGCATCCACACAGTAATTCTTCTCTTTCACACCTTTTCTGCAGTTTTCACACAATGTTCTGATTGCCGCTTGGATCCCCATTCTCGTAAAGGATAGCAAGTGAATTCAGTAGGGTCATTTAAATGCTCTTTTGCATCTCTACAATCAAAAACCTCGTTTGCAAGGCTGGTCTAAGATAGAAGTCCTTTTTCTTCACAATCATGTCCTTCGAGTGATACTCCTGGGTCGTCCTGACTTTTGTGCATGCATTTGTACCCTTAGGTGGACCATGTTCATTCTTCCTCGTCCTTTCAGGTCCATTTCCAACCTTCTCAAGTTGGCCAACAATCGGTATTAGGCAGTGCGAAAAGCAGACAGAAGATGATCTCGAAGATTGCTAAGACAAACCGAGCCTAAGCATGTTGATTTTCTCTCTGAGAAGCTGCATAATTCTGAGCGTTCCATGTACGTTTTGCTGACCCCGACATCTACTCGTTGTGCCTGTGAGGTCACAAATCTTCTCATTGCTGCAGTCGTCATGGCAATTTATTATGGTCTTCTGCCCAAAGACTTACGCTAAACCATCTGTACACATTCTTTTCTTTGTAATTAAAAGAGCAACAAATAAGGCCCAATCCAATTCTGAAATTGGTAATTACTGTATAACGATGATGATCGTAAGCCTGCAGTGAGTCAATACCCAAGCCCAAGATGAGCCCATTTTTGACGCTACGTAACTGGTAAAAAAAGCACAAGGAAGAGAGAGTTGAAATGCAATTCGGGATGTTCTTGGTCTCGATCCGCCCGCCACCAACCACATCGTGACAACCATTTTCCGCCATCGGATTCAACCTCTCTTCCCTTCTAAACCGGCTTCGCCGCCGGTCTCCAGCCAAGCTTGCTGGAATTGGCTCCTTCCAGGTTAGCTCCTTCCTCCCCACAACCCTCTTTTCGATTTTTACTTCTTAGTTCTGGGTCTTATTTTTTTTTTAATTGTTGGGGTTTTAAAACAGTGAATTTGATGATTGTTGCAACAAATTCTCCGTTAATTTGGGAGTACTGAAACTAGTTTTTCATTATGTGATTGAAATGTAAGTTCTTTTTTTCTTTTTTTTCTTTTTTTGGGTTTAGGAAAAAGTGGATGCTAAAAGGTGAAACAGAATGGATAAATTAAGAGAATTTGGGAGAAAAGCATTGTTCTACGTAAGGGTTCTCTCCGGATATGAAGAGCGTAGAATTCGAAACTATAGATTGCAGCTCGAGAGACGTCTGCTACAGGTTTTTCACTTTCCTTACTCATCCTCATACTACGCTTTTACTTTTTTCTTTTTCTTTCCCCAGATTTTTATAAATTTGTGGAGCTAAGGCTATTTCATGGTATTGGTAGCCTTAATTTTGAACATGGGAATTGCTTCGCTCGTTTAGAAACATCTGTTATTTGCAGCTGCTCTTATTCACTTGTGTGCTGACATCACAAAGTTTTGACCATGTAATGATGCATTTCCTTAAAATGTAACTAAAGAAGAAGTTTTATTTATGCAATGAGGTGACTGCATTGAGTTTGTAGTTGAAAAGGGTATATTCTTGTTTGCATGTGAACTTGGGAGAGTTGATGTATGTATGTGTTTTATTATCTTGATTTTGATGCATAAGGAAGACTTTGATTGCACGTTGTGTCTATCGAATTTCCTGTCCCAGATTCTTATGTTAGCTTTCTTTCTCTCTCTTTTTTCTGTGCAGGCACAAGAAAGGAAAGCGGCCATAAGAAAGATCCCTGAGCAGGCTATATTGGCAGAGGTTCGCTGTATGGTTGAGGAGATGCAAACTCTAAATAGAAAGCTTGAAGAAACAGTAAGTTTCACTTGCATTTGGAGATGATAATCGCCAAAGGCAGTGCAAAAATACAGTTTTTGCATCTTAAAATTTGAATACTGTTGATTTTGGATACACATGTATATACTCAGCATTGCCACTTACAGGCTCCATTCATCAGGGGGCATAATGAACCAAAGAGCTTTTGACTTGTGTGATTTGTCATTTGCTCAAGTTGTAAAGAAATATGTCCATGCCATAAGGGTCATGCTGCTTTTGCTTAGAGAAACTTTTTCTTCTTGAATATGCATCAATCTTATAGGAAGTTTTGAAGATCAATGAGTCAAATTATCTTGTATATTGGAACTATGATGATTGATTTTATCAAAGTTGAAATTCAGGAAAAAAATGAAGTTATTAGATTATGTGTACTTCTTGACAAATTCCTTTGCTTGGTTATGGGCCCATCTTTGTAAGGTCCAGGTCCCTACTTTCAGACTTTGATCAACTCAAAATATTTAAACCTCCCATAACTAATTTAATGGTCACTTTGTCTAAATACTGCCAATTGCATTTGCAATCATCTTTCCTTTTTCACTGAGGCACATGTCATGATGGGAATCATTCGAATGTTAGTTTCTGAACTCTGAGGCATTTCTCCGTTCCTTAAATGTCTCCTATTTCAGAATGATTTTCTTTTTTGTTCTTAACAAGATTGTTGTTCACGTTCAGGAAACTGCCATTGAAGAGTACTTCAAACCAATAGACAAGGAAGCTGAGATGCTAATGAAAATGCAGCTTGAGGGAGAAGAGAAGACAATGAAAGAGATGCTGGCAGCAATGCAACAACAGGCCTTGCTTGAGAAAGCTGAAGCTGAGAAAATAGCAAACATGCAACAACAAGCC